TGTTTCAAGAAACAAATTTATATGATATTTAATGAAACGTCTCTGGAAATTAAAACAAGTTAAAAAACAAGAGGAGCAAACTTTAAAATAAATAGTTGTGAGAGGAAAGATTTCACTCAGTTGAAACTCCTGTACTCTTATATCTTGGCAGTTGAAACCCCTGTATACTTATTCCTCAGAACTAATACAACCAAGTTCAAAACTCTGAGAGTACCAGCTGGCTATAACTGATATGACTTTTTTTTAATCACCTAAATACTGTCCAATACAGTAGCACTGGGTTCACATGACCGTTAAAATTCATTAAAATTAAATAAATTTATAAATTTATATCATCAATTACCTAAATCGTATTTCACTTACTAGAAAGATATGGCAAATGACTGTTCACCCAGTTCGACAGCATAGACACTTCCAAAAGATATACTAGACAACAAAGTTCCAAATTTGTTGAGGACTCATTGAAGAATTCAATTGTGATGCAAAATTAAACCCCAAAATACTAATATAGTTGTACTTGGCTTCATGAACATAATTTGTTCCAAGATGTTAGAAAAGATGACTGCATTCATGCTTTTACAAGAAAGATGGTACAGTTGTGTTTTTCACCCAATACCAGACGTTTCTGTTTGTGAAAAAAAAAATGTTTGCAAACAAAAGCATTCGTAAACTGAGGCATCACTGTACTTATAGCTTTTCAACATTTTTGTAAGTAGAAAGGCTTAGTCATATTACTTTATAGTGTAGTACATAATACAAGAATTTTATAAAATAATAAAAAATCTTAATTCTCAATTTAATAATTTAAGGGTTTTTCTTTTCCACCAGTAATGGACTTAACTAAAAGCTGCACTGGCACTCATAGAGTAACTGACATACACTCGTGGTGACAAATCAAAGAGTTTACTAGAGGAAAAGACAATTTTCTTAAAACATCTTATTTTCTAAATGCTATTTAAGAAAACTAGTTTCTATTTCAAATTTTATTACTAACACTCATTGATGCCAGGTCTCACTAAAAGATAACATTTAGAATTACAGAATCTTATTAGAGTGCAATTTTCAGAGCTCAATGTGTAAAACATAGTTCACTACCTCTGACTTCTTAAAATGTATGAGATAAAAAAGGAGTCTTTAATAACAGTGTTACTAAATTATAGGCTATATTATTTCTGAGAGAAATGTACTTTGATCTTATAGGGAAAAATAAAGTTGCTCTCTAGTTTAATTGCACACAAACTTAGTTCATTAACTGTGGTCTGTAGGGTAAGGGAAATTTCACACTTCATGGCATGTTCATTATAAATGGGGTATTTGATCTTCCTTTCCCATTATTTGCAAATGAGATATGGTGGTGCAGAAATCAGTGGAAAATAGTGTAGAAAAGGAAGGGATGAATACCTAGAGTTAATTTATAACTTGAGTCTTGACCTATTTTTACAGAACTTCCCCCATGATATTATTTACTAACTACAAAGTATTTGAATCTAGGATTTTATCCAATACTATACATTGATATATATATATATATATATATATATATAGATAGATAGATAGATAGATAGATATAGATAGATATAGATATAGATATAGATATATAGATAGATAGCTATGTGAGTGTGTGTGTGCGCATAGGTGTGTATCACATCTCCTTTTAGACCAAACAAGTCTACAAGACACTCTGTTGCCTAATTGCACAAAAGTTTAGCAATGTATTATCTAATTCAGCTTTAATAATTAAAAATTAATTTTATATCCTTTCAGTCAAAAAATTGTTTTTTCATTGTTTATCTCCTTGTCGTCATATACCAGGTAATCTAAATTATCACTGTTTTTATCATATCTCTATGCATTTTTTTCAAAATCCTTCGGTTCACACATTCAGCCTATAAGATAAACTTTGCCTTTAATCTGGAAACTTTTCTATCAGTTTTGGCCCACAATAATTTAAACTCTATCAGTTAAACTTTACTTCCATTGTTTCATTTCTTTTCTACTTGCTAATGAGCTTGCCCCTCTAAGTGCCTTCTCTATGTCTTTTTGTTTTGTTTTGTATCTCAAAATCATTCTTTTAAATCACTTTTTCAGGTAACCATAGACTCTAGTGGCTTAAATTTCACTTGTTATTATTATCCACTTCAATAGAGTTAATTACATATATACATATGCTCCCTTGTGACCATTCTTGAAATAAAACTTAATTAATGTTCGTGACTTATTTCAGTCTGTTACTCCTGTCCCTATTAGCTTGCTTGAGGGCAATTGTCATGTAATAAATTTATGAGATTATATTAGTGAGGGCGAACTCGACTTGTTGATTGAGAATTTAAGAATCTTACACTGCATGGTTTGCCATCTCACTGATTCATACTGAACTTAGAATGAATAAATATGGGTAAAATTAACAAAATATTATTATTCTTGTCATTGCATTCAAGAATGCTGGAACAATGAATTTTCTTTTTGATGTCTCAGACGAGCTCTAAATTCCATAAATTAGATCAGTCTCTTTCAAAGGTAACATTAATATATTCAAGCAGTTATCTTTGAAGAGATTATGAATTTTGATTTACTTATCTATAAATATTAAATGTGAAATAAATAATATGATACTTGTGTTAATTCACAATAAATATCTCAGTAAGATGAAAACTGTTAGGGCCAACGCCGCAGGGAAAGAGACCCCAAGGACTCAACTCTTGGTGAGGAAAAAAGAGTTTATTTCCATGCGCATGGGGTCCCCCAGGCAAACGAGTGCGGAGGGGCCCCGAGGGGAATTTGTGCAGGGTTTTTAAGGGTACAAGCGGGAGGCAAGCAAGTTTACAGAAGCGAATCGCATTGGTTAATTTTGAACGGCGCAGGACTTGGCTAATGCTGATTTGAGGGTCTGGGGCCGAGTAACCATGGAGACCGAGGGTCTTGGTTTGACCTTGGAGTGCCAGGTGCACCCCGGTCCTGTTTAAACAGCACATTCTTTTACTTATCTCTATCTTTACAGAGAACAGAACATCTAGTGGCTAATGACTAGCAGAGACATTCCTTCCTGCCCTGCTCTGATTATCTCCTGGGAAAGGTTTAGGGAGTGAAACATTCTTTGCTGCTTTTTATAACTCGGGGAGGGGGTTATAGCAGGGGGGTCAACTCTCACATTTCCCCCTTTTTTTTTTTTTTTCATGACTTTTAATCTTAAAGGTCCTGTATGGGTAAGGGATCATATTGTTGGCGTAGCACCATAACTTTTACTTGAGAAATCTGGGCCCTCACAAACTGGGTTACTCGGTTAATGAGCCAAGGGGCTATAGTCATGACTATAATGAATCCGGCCAGGGGTCCCAATAAAGGGAGAATATAGGGCAGGATTGATTCCCAGAAAGAGAACACTTTGGCTTCACTTGAAGGGGGCTCTCGAGATCTGATTCTCTCTCTCAACTTTTCCATTGCATCTTTTACAATCCCAGTATGATCAGTATAAAAACAACACTCTTCTCTAAGTGCGGCGCAGAGACCGCCCTCCTTTAAAAACAAAAGATCTAAGCCTCTTCTGTTTTGTAACACTACTTCAGATAGGGACGAGAGAGACTGTTGTAATGCAGTTATAGAAGTCTCTAAGGCCTGTAAATCTTGGTTTACTACTGCAAGAAGCTGCTGGCGAGACTGGTGCCCAGTAATGAGGGCTGCTGTACCAGTTCCTATCCCCCCTGCCACACCTATCCCCAATAGGACTGCTAGGGTCAGGGAGACAGGTTCCCGTTTATATCGACCTCTCATGAGGGAGAGCATGTTAGGGGGGAGATACTTAATGCGTGGCATAAGGTCTATAAGGATGCAAGAGCTGTCCCCTGCCAGGAGTACATTTGTGGAGACGCAAGGGGTGAGCCCTGTAGTACATAACCAGAATGCCCCGGTAGGAGGGATGAGGTATTGGTTCCTGGGGAAGGAGCGAGTATGTGTGAGGCAGCGATGGCGTAGGTTTGTAGGCCAATTATCAAGTGTCCCTATACAGGTTCCTCGGCTAGCGAGGTCAGGTAAAGGAAGGGTGTGGAACACATGATCCCAGTCGCACTGGTCGGGATTGGGAGTCAGCGTATAGGAGTCATTTAGAGCAGTCCCCTCATAATATGGAGGGTTAGCATTTAGACATAACCAACAAGCTTGGGCTAGGTCTGGATGGGTAAGATTGAGGGCTTTATGAGCCCCAAGTATAAGACTGAGGAGGGAGTTCACGGTTGGGGGGACGAGTCCCGACTCAGGGGGATTAGTTAAATACCCGGAGGGGATGCGAGGTGAGACTATGGGCTCTTGGCTTTGGGTAGTCACAGGCATGGGGGATGAGGGCCCCCTAGCTGTTGTTGGAGCAGGTGTGGGCAACAATGGCTCTGTCTTTAGCTTCTTTTTAATTAAAATGAGCCCTCCTGTGTCTGGTCCACTCATATAGTATCTAAATCCCCAGATTTTTCCTGTCGTCCAAGATTGGTCCTCGGGGGTGAGGACCTCGAGTTGTAAATGTCGGCAATTGCCTGGTCCTCCGTCATAGGAGTGGAGGCTCCTCTTTGACAGTGGCAAAGGGCCTTGATGTTGACCTCCTCCTGTTGCTGACAAGCTAAGGTGCCGGTCCTTTATTGAGGGGGTCCATGCTGTGGCCATCGTTTCACATCCCCAGTAGGCACAATAGTATTCGCCTGGGGAATTGCAATAACTCCTTCCTTCCACAGACGCGGGACATAGATATATTTCCGGGGGGTGGTCAACGTTAGGGTCAAGAGGAGCAATATCACAGGAATAGAAACTAAAGGTGGGATGGCCTGAACCTGTCCACTTATCGACCTCTTTTGGGTTGTCCCATCGGCTTAATGTCCAGACCCAAGGGCGGTGGGGGTTCGCTATTGTAGGGGTGACTAACATTAACATGAGTAATTTCATTATAGCCCAGGGGGTTACAACCTGGGGTTTTTGTTGGGTCATCTCGCAATAATACACAAGGGGAGTGTACAGAAACAGCATCAAAGAGTCTTTCGGCTCAGCTTAAGTTTTAAGGGGTTATCAGACCGTTTGAGTTCCCAGGAGTCGTCCTCTGGCGCTGAAGCAGGCTTTAGATGTGACGCGTGGATCCAAGAGGCGACTCCGTCAACCTTTACCGCTGTAGGAGTAGTCAATAGGACCTGGTACGGTCCTTTCCAGCGAGGCTGTTGAGTCTCTTGTTGGTGGCGCCGGACGAACACAAAGTCTCCCACCTGGTACGGATGTGGCGCGGGGAACTCACTGGGAGCATAGGCCGAGGCTAGCTGCGTCCACACGTCCCTCTGTAGATTGTCAAGGGCGATGAGCCTGTCAGACAGGGAGGTTGGCAACAAGGCAGCATGCTCAGTTAAGGGAGTGAGATCTCGAATGGGGGGTGGAGTGCCAAAAAGGATTTCGAAGGGAGTAAGGTTAGGGGGTTTGGTAGACGGGGTGTTTCGCGCGCGAAAAAGGGCATACAGCAGGAGCATCGTCCAATCTTTTAAGCCAGTCTCATGAGCCAATTTAGTGAGGGTCTCCTTAATAGTTCTATTCATTCTTTCTACCTGTCCTGAACTTTGGGGTCTATAAGCACAATGTAACTTCCAATCAATCCCCAATATGTTGGCCAGTCCCTGACTTACCTTAGCCACAAACGCCGGTCCATTATCGGACCCTATTACCTTTGGCAATCCGAACCGGGGAAATATTTCTTCCATCAACTTTTTAGTTACCACGGCAGCAGTTTCCTTTTTGGTAGGAAAAGCCTCAGTCCATCCAGAAAAGGTGTCTACAAAAACTAGCAGATATTTTAGTCCGCATCGGGCAGGCTTAACTTCTGTAAAGTCCACTTCCCAGTATTGTCCAGGTCTGGTGCCACGTAGCCTTTTGCCGGGGGCCAGCTTGGCAGGGTAGGCATTGGTCAATTGACATGCCTCACAATTAGCCACAACCCGATTGGCGACCTGACGTATGGCAGTGGGGGATGCCCCTGGGAAGTCTTGGCGTTGGGCCAGTAGGCTCAGCTTTTTAGCTCCCAAATGGGTGAGCCGGTGGGCCTGTTGTATGTAAGCAGTCAGATCAGGTGTTTCAGGGGTTTGGTTAATCTGAGCTTTCTCCTTTGGAGGAGAATCTTTGACATCAGTCACCAACATTTGTGAGTCTCCCATGGCTGCAGATTTTGCTGCCTGATCGGCCAGGTTGTTTCCCCTTGTGACGGGATCAGTCCCTTTCTGGTGGCTGTTACAGTGTATTATCGCCACCTTCTGGGGCAACATAACTGCAGCGAGCAACTGAAGGATTTCCTGTTTGTGTTTTATTTCTTTTCCTGCGGAGGTCAGAAGCCCCCGCTGGCGGTATATGGCCCCGTGGATGTGGGCCGTTGCAAAGGCATATCGGCTATCCGTGTAAATGTTTGCTCGCTTTCCTTTGGCGAGCTCCAGAGCCTTAGTCAAAGCAATCAGTTCGGCCTTTTGGGCCGAGGACCCGTCCTCTAGTCTGGCTGTCCATATAACATTGGAATAATCAGTCACAGCCGCCCCCGCATACCGCTTACCTTGAATCAAAAAGCTACTCCCGTCAGTGAAGTAGGTCACCTCTGCATTGGGTAGGGGGCAATCCAATAAGTCCGGTCGTACTCCGGCCTCTTCTGCCAAGACGTCCTGGCAGGTATGGAGGACGGGTTCCGAAGCTTCTTCCGGCAGCAGAGTCGCCGGGTTGAGAGTCACCGGGGGTCCAAAAGTTATCTTGTCCTTGTTGAGCAAGAGGCTCTGATAATGAGTAACTCTGGCATTTTAGAGCCACCTGTCTGAAGGCTGGCGGATGATGCTTTCTAGCGTATGCGGGGCAATGATTGTTATTTTTTGTCCCAAAGTCAATTTGTCAGCATCTTTAATGAGCAAGGCAGCTGCTGCAATGGCCTTTAGGCAGGGTGGCCACCCGCTTGCCACAGTGTCCAGTCTTTTTGAGAGGTAAGCCACCGGACGCCTCCATGGCCCAAAGGCCTGGGTCAGTACTCCTCTCGCTATTCCTCTCTTTTCTTCAATGAAGAGAGTAAAGGGTTTATCCACATTAGGAAGGGCCAGGGCCGGAGCGGACAGGAGAGCCCGCTTGATGGCATCAAAGGCCTGCTGGTGATCTTTTTCCCAGATAAAGGGAGATTCCCCCTTCAGTAACGGGTACAGGGGAGCTGCCAAAGTTGCGAATCCAGGGATCCACAACCGGCAAAACCCCGCGGTACCCAGGAACTCTCGTAATTGTTTTTGACTCTTTGGAGGGGGAATCTGGACCAAGGTCTGTTTTCTGGCCTCAGTGAGCCATCTTTTTCCCCCTTTCAAGGAGTAGCCCAGAAAAATTACCTCTCGCTTACAAATTTGAGCCTTTTTTGCTGATGCCCTATACCCCAGAATAGCCAACTCACGTAAAAGGTCCTGAGTTCCGCTTTTGCAGTCACCCTCAGAGTCCGCAGCCAGCAGCAAGTCATCTACATATTGAAGAAGGGTGAGGTTTGGGTGTTGAGCCCGAAAGGGGGCTAAATCCTTATGTAGGGCTTCATCGAAGATGGTTGGGCTGTTTTTGAAGCCCTGTGGGAGGCGCGTCCAGGTCAGTTGTCCGGCGGACCCAGTCTCGGGGTCCGTCCATTCAAACGCAAATAAGGGCTGGCTATCTTTGTGCAAAGGCAAACAGAAAAAGGCATCCTTTAAATCCAGAACAGTGTACCAAGTCCTTGACGGATTCAACCCGCTGAGGAGATTATAGGGATTGGGTACGGTGGGGTGAAATGTCCTCCACCCTGCTATTGACCTCCCTTAAGTCCTGTACCGGTCTGTAGTCATTCGTCCCGGGCTTTCTGACCGGGAGTAACGGAGTATTCCATGCAGGCCGACAAGGAGTTAATACCCCTTGGTCTAAAAGTCTCTGTATATGCACCTTAATCCCTAGGTGAGCTTCTCTATTAATGGGATATTGCTTAACCCGAATAGGGGAGGCAGTGGTTTTTAAAGTAACCACTACAGGCGGTTGCTGGCTTGCCAGCCCGAGTCCAGCCGTCTCGGCCCAGGATTCTTTAAAATCAGTTAGCCAGGCTGGGGCGATAGGCTGGGGATCCTGGTGGTCGTAGAGCCTATATTCATCTTCCAGTTTTAGAGATAACACCGTAACCATAGGTTGCCCAACCTTTGGGTTACGGAATGTCACTTGAGGTCCTTGGGGCTCAAAGGAAATCTTTGCCCCCAGTTTGGTTAATAAGTCACGTCCCAGGAGGGGAGCAGGACATTCAGGAATAACCAGAAAGGAGTGTTTTACTTTTCCCTTACCTAAGTCAACTGTGCGCTCAGTGGTCCACGAGCGATATTTGCTCCCGTTAGCCCCTTGAACTAATGATTTCTTAGTTGAAAGGGCCCCTAAGGGGGCTTGTAAGGCCGAATAAACAGCTCCCGTATCGACCTCGAATTCCACGGGAGTCCCCTCCACTTTAAACATTACCCTGAGCTCGGGGAGGGGGTCCGAGCCCCGAAGTCCCTAGTCTTCTTCATCTAGGGCGAGCATGGGGGCTCGGGATCGCTGCGAGGACTGCTTTTCTCGTTCTTCTTTGGCCCGTTTCTTTTTTAACTTTTCACAGTCTTTGATCAGGTGTCCTTTTTCCTTACAGTATGCACATTGGTCAGGGTCTAATGGAGGGCGAGTGGGCTTTCCCTTTCCTGGCTCAGGTTTTCCCTGAATAACTGTGGCCAACACCTTAGCTAATTCCTTGTTTCGTCTTTTGTCCCTAGCTAACTCTTTTTCTTCCTCTGTCTCCCGCTTATAGTAGACTTTTTCAGCTTCCTTAACAAGATCCCTCAGAGTTAGGTCTTGGAGACCATCTAGCCTTTGGAGCTTACGTCTTATATGGGGGGGCCGATTGCCCTATGAAGGCCATAGCTATCGAGCCTTGTCGGCCTTCTTCCTCAGGGTTAAAAGGCGTATATCGCCGGTAAGCTTCCATCAGGCGTTCTAGAAAAACTGAGGGAGTCTCAGTAGGTCCTTGGGTAACTTTTCTTACCTTGGCCAGATTAGTGGGGTGCCTTGCGGCCGCCCGGAGACCTGCCATTAGAGTCTGGCGATAGATAGAAAGATGCTGCCTACCAGTAGGTGAGTTGGGGTCCCAGTTGGGGCGCTTTAAGGGGAAGGAGTCATCGATCAGGTCTGGTCTCTGGGTGGGTCTGCCATCTTCTCCGGGAACAGCTTTCCGGGCTTCCAGGAGGATGCGGTCTCTTTCCTCGGTGGTGAACAGGACCCCTAGGAGCTGTTGACAGTCGTCCCATGTGGGTTGGTGGGAGAACATAACAGAATCCATTAGACCTGTTAGCTTAGAAGGATCATCAGAAAAAGGAGGGTTATTGTTTTTCCAGTTATAGAGATCTGAGGTAGAAAAAGGCCAGTACTGTAAAGCGGGCATCTGCCCTCCATCTGTCCCATCGTCTATCATGGGCCCATAGGGACGGAGAAGGAGGGTAACGACTGGATCCTCAGGCCGTAGCTTACTCCGAGTGTTCTGGGCTGGGCCCGTGGGCCCCGGAGGTGTGGGCTCGGGGCAAGCCATTGCAGGGAGCGGGGGATATAGAGGGGACGTGGGTATCGGAGGAGAAGAGGGATTTAGCTCAGGTGAAGAGGGGGCTGACGGAGAAGCAGCACTCGATCCGGACGAGGAGGCTGGAGGAGAGAGTGGGTACGGAGGAGGTTGAGTCAGCTGGGAAGGAGGAGGCCGGTCATAGTCGAGTAAAGGTAGATCAGGCTGAGACTCGGGCAGGACCGGAGCCGAAGTGGGAGGTCCCTTCAGAGCTAAAAGCTTTGGTACAGATGAGTCAGAAGGGGGAAGAAAGGGTTTTACCCATAATGGGGGTTCCTCCCTGAGGTCCTGCCATACCAGGATGTAAGCGACCTGATCAGGGTGCCCCCTTTGCCCGGGGCGGAAGATGACGTCCTTAACTGCTAGGATGAGGGGCAGATGAAAAGTCCCCTCTGGTGGCCATCCCACAGAGAAAGTAGGCCACTCAGTCGAGCAGAAATCCTGCCACTTATTCTTCTTGACCTGCAAGGAGAGATCGTGAGCCCTCTTCCGCACCTCCGACCAATGGTCGAGGGTGAGGGACAATGGGGATGAGGTCGACTGTCCCATGATGTTCTATTGTCACAGGGCGGTTAACGCAAGCGCGGTACAACAAATAACCAAACACAGCACCCACGACACACAAGACAATCAGGCCGGCCACTTCATTCACATGCATACGCATCAGTTTCACTCCAAATGAGACACCTTACAGGGTGTCTCCAGATTGGCCCGGACGGACCACAGACTGGGAATCGAAATCCCCCAGATGAGTCACCTCAAAGGGTGTCTCCAAATTGGCCCGGACGGACCACAGATTGGGAATCGAAATTCCCCAGATCGATAGGGAGGCCCTATCGCAGACAGTGAGCCACGGAAACCGTGTGGGGCGTCCCCCAGTCACCAGGGAACAGAGTACGAAACAGATAACAAAAACTGCCCCTAGATCGGAGCCGTATGGCTCGGGGCGTAAACACCGGTGGAATGAGAAGCGACCAGTCGTACTCACCCGCAGAGCCGTTGGGGTCACCTCCCGTGAGACATGCTTATCTCGCTGGGGCCTCCATGATGTTAGGGCCAACGCCACAGGGAAAGAGACCCCAAGGACTCAACTCTTGGTGAGGAAAAAAGAGTTTATTTCCATGCGCATGGGGTCCCCCAGGCAAACGAGTGCGGAGGGGCCCCGAGGGGAATTTGTGCAGGGTTTTTAAGGGTACAAGCGGGAGGCAAGCAAGTTTACAGAAGCGAATCGCATTGGTTAATTTTGAACGGCGCAGGACTTGGCTAATGCTGATTTGAGGGTCTGGGGCCGAGTAACCATGGAGACCGAGGGTCTTGGTTTGACCTTGGAGTGCCAGGTGCACCCCGGTCCTGTTTAAACAGCACATTCTTTTACTTATCTCTATCTTTACAGAGAACAGAACATCTAGTGGCTAATGACTAGCAGAGACATTCCTTCCTGCCCTGCTCTGATTATCTCCTGGGAAAGGTTTAGGGAGTGAAACATTCTTTGCTGCTTTTTATAACTCGGGGAGGGGGTTATAGCAGGGGGGTCAACTCTCACAAAACAATATTAGTAAATATCTTTAAAATCTGATTTTTCAATAATGAATAACTTGAGAAAATTCAGAACTGATGGGAGTAAAGAGTTTCCTCTTCATATTTAAAAAGAAGTTATATGAAAATTACCCATAGACTTTTCTATTAAAGAAAGATATCTCTTTTAGCAACCATAGCTTTGAAGAAATAGAAACATTTATAGTTCCTAATGATAACTTTAGTATTTTTCTGAAAGTGCCATTAAAGGGTTCAACTAATTACCAAGTCATCTCCTACATAAATTAGCAAATTTTATCTACCTTACCTTTGAGGTTTTTAAAACATATTTTACTTTAAAGAGAATAAAGCAAAAGAAAAAAAAAAAAACAGAACGAAGAAAATCAGAACAGCAAAATGCAATCAACACAGAACTTCATAACAAGACAACAGGACATCAACTGTGACTACTATAATGTCTCTTGTTTCCTTTGAAATACTTGAGCATACCTTCACACACAGTAATAGTGAACATAACAAAATAGTATCAAACCACTCAAAGAATGAAAGCATTATAGGACTTCAAAACCAGATCATAGGAAATGAGCAATCATTACTATAATATCTCATTTTCCTCAAAAAAGTTGTTCATACCATCACACATAATAAAATCAAAACACAACAGGACAGAACCAATCAAAACAGAAGAACAAAAGCATGATAGGATTTCAAAACAAGATGAGAGTAAATCAGCAATAGCTTCCATAATGTCTCATTTTATTTAAAATAACTGTGCATGTGATCACATAATAAAATCAAATAAAAATAATTAAATCAATCAAGCAAATGAATGAAAGCATTATAAGATTTCAAAGCAATATAACAGGAAATCATGGTTACCATAATATATCCCATTATATTCAAAATAGCTCCCTCTATCATCAGACAGAGTAAAATCTAACAAAACAAGAAAGAACAAAGCCAAACCTAACAAAATTGTGGAAACAATGGAAGAGTTCAAGACAAGACAATAAGAAATTAACAGTAGTTACCTTTGAGTTTTAAATGATTATTATGGTCCAGTTGTGACAGAAGAATTAAAAAAAAAACTAGTATAATAGAAGAACTGCAGGCCTGGAAACAAAATTAGAATAAACAATGTTCAAATTAGCTATTGTATAAGATAAATAATTTCCAGAATATAAATGGAGAGTGTTAAGGACAGATTTTGATTGATAGCAGTTATTTAAAATTTGATCCAGAATGTGAATTTTAAATAATAACAAGCTTTAGTGTCTGTATGCCAACGTGTATTACCTGCATTTGCCCACCCAAATTATAATACAATGATCAGTTATATTTATTCCTTAAATGACTATATGGGGAAGTTAATATGATTCAGTGTTTGTGAGAATTATACATTATACACATTCTATTTTATACTCATTACTTCAAAGTATAACTTCAAATTGAAACCAAAAATGTTGTTATCACTTTGGGGTTATTTGAGTTAGAGAATGTTTATTATTTTTTGCCGAGTAGTTCACACCTATGCTGAGCAGGGGAAAGAAAAAAATCACTGGCGGTAAAACCCATTTCTATTTAATGTTGGTAAGGTTAAGTGTCAGATGAATAAATGATAAAGCTGAAGTCAGTCATGTGTTTTGATCATTGGATCAAAACTAGGGCAATTAATTTGCTTTATTTTCAAGAGACAGGGTCATGCTGTGTTGCCCATGTTTACCTGGTACTCCTGAGCTCAAGCTGTCCTCTTGCCTCAGCGTCTTGTGTAGTCGACATACAGTCATGTGCCACTATGCATGACATAAAACCAGGACAATTTCAAAGGACTGAAGGGGGAAAGAACTCCACCAATGCAGAGAGAAAGAACAGTAGCAGCATGGAAACAAGTGGGTGAGACAGCCTCAGTAAAATTGGGGGAAAATCTTGATGTCCAAAAGCACTTCATGGTCATCCTGCCCTGAGAAGAGCTGGCCTTGTCTTTAGACTGCAGGCTGGATGGTTTTCTCAGCTGTGGCCCAACATCTGGCTCTCATTTTAATTCACAGTATAAATCAACCTCATTCCATATATTTCTTGGGAAACATTATCTCTTAATCAGTGCCACCTGTTTAAAGAGGAAAAGACAAATCACAAAGCAAAACGCTTAAGTTTGTAAGGGATGGACTCCATTAGATTAAAAATAGAACACAACAATGATCATTCCAGAAAACTGCACATGTAGATATCATCCTTTATATTTCTGTCATGTTCTCCATTACCTCAATACTTTTTTAAAGAATTATGCTATGGTCTATAATCACTGTTTTATGTATATTTATAATAAGTATTTCAAAAACCTGAATTCAGTTAAGAAGAGAATCAGAATCATATGTAACTTAGTTTAATTTTGTTTTTATTAATAATTAAACATGTAAGCTTGGGAAAGTTAGGTATTGGTTGCTTTTCACTTTCTTACAAATAATAATTACTTATTTGATAAGTGGTCACAAGGAGCAAAATAAACTCATATGTGTTAGCACTCTAGAACAGGTGCATGAAAATGTCTCCTGAGCAAAACAGATACAGGTGTGACTGCAATTGTTTGGCACATTTTTAGCCTGAGAGAACCTAGGAAAAGAATAACTCAAAAGACTAATCCCTAGGGTATGAGTTTTCTTCCTGAGTAGCCAGTCTACATTTTGCCCTTGTTGTTGCTGTTGGAGTTGTTTGGCCTCTTGCTTGTATTTTTGATGATATTTCAGCTCCAGTAATTTTTTATGATTTCGTCTTTTCCTGGTTCCAATGAAGCCTGGACCCAAAGTTTTAATTTCCTCAAAACAAGAGTAGAGGAATAAATAAAATCAGACATGTGGATTTTTTCTAGATTTTTTTATGCCTTATTTTCATTTGTGTTGGTTATTTACATTTATAAGTCTTTGTGCTTATTTTTAAAAGTAAAATATAAGAATTTATAATTTAACTACATTTATATGTTTAAATTGTATATTTTTAAATTTTGTACTCAAATTATTTCCAGTTTTCTGAATATTATGACACCTTTAGGTCCCTATTTAATTGCCAGTGTTTGGAGTATACATAGGTTATCTTCCTATGTATGCTCCTATGTTTTTAGGTTTACACTTACCTGAAAGTGTAGGAGAATGATAAGAAAAACAATAGGTATTATTTCCTGTAGCTAACTGGAAATGTAGACTACAAAAATGCCTACTTTGACTTACTAGCCAATTGATCTAATTTCCAGAAAACACTTTTTTCTAACCTTAAGTGGCAATTCTTGGCATTCTTGTTCGTTCTAATGATAAATATGCTAAACATAATAATGTCACAAAAATAACACATACAAATTACCATAGGTTCACATGAGCTTATATTTGAAATATTGAGTTAAAAATCAGTGCAAAGAAATGCAATGGTGATTCTGGGAATTTGGAGTAAAATTAAATCTTTACTTGTTATGAACAGTTTTGCTAAGTCTCTAAACACATACAGTCAATAAAGAACTAAAGAAAATCATAATCAATCGTATCAACTAGGTAAGATGACAGTTTTGAAATAACTTTCCTCACGCAAAGCATAAGATACAAATATACGTATGTCACTGCTTTAGTGATAATGAAAACTGATATTGTGACTTCAAGTAATCTTTCAGTGATATATTCCATAAGTGCAGGAAAGTAACAAACATAGGTAGAATGGGTAAATTTGCCACATATCTTTTATTCATTTATACAGACTAGAATCAGTCATATTATTTTGCATTCTTATTTACATTTTTACATGAGAATCAGATCCTGGCACTGGAATGTTAATCCTGTGTGAGATTTAGTCATCTCCTCTATCAGCTTGACCATCTGCTATTTTGTATTTTTACAGGCTGGACATTTCACTTGTTTCCCTGAATTTAGTAAAGCTATAAATAGGAAGAAGTAGAAAGGTTATCCAATCAACATGCAGAATAGAGATAAAGGTCAGGGTGGTAGGGCATACAATTCTAATTCTCCATATATATCAGATAATAAAAATCTGACACTTCATTCTTGTGGCAGAAATTTTAATAATAGAACTGAAAATACTGTGCAAATTATTTTCATATAGGACTATAGATTTGAAATACAGTAATAGTGTCTGTCCATTTCCATTAAACTTTCAGGATTATACTTTAATGCTTATAAAAAAACCTATACATACAAAAAGAAAAACAAATTTGAAAGTTCCAGATTTTT